GGTACCCCCTGTAGGCGTCTAGAAAATTCATTCTTCCATGCCCTGAAGTGGCATCTACTAGCTGGTCAATTTTGGACAGGGAAAAGCTGTCTTTGGGACAGGCTTTGTTGAGGCTGGTAAAGTCTACACAGACCCTCCATTTACCGTTCTTCTTTTTTACCACCACTGTATTGGATAGCCATATTGGGTAGTGTACTTTTCTAATGGCCCTGGCCTCCAGAAGTCTGTCTATTTCTTCTTCTACTACTTCGACGTGTATCAACGTCAGTCTTCTATCTCGCTGAATTACAGGCTTGGCCGACCTGTCAACATTCAGTTTGTGGCAAGTGACCTCGGGGTCAATGCCAAGCATTTCGTAAGGTGTCCAAGCGAACACCTCAATATTTGCTCTCAAAAAAGTTTCCAACTCTTTTTCCTCTTCTTTGGCTAAGCCCGACCCGAGAAGAAAGAAGCGTTCTTCATCCCTATCCTGGATGAGGATTTTCTTTAGTGCCTCTTCGCTCTTCTCGGCTGGTTCTTTGCCGACGTCTTCTAGGACTTCCACGTCCTCATCTTCAATTTCAGCCTTCTCTGGCTCTCGCACGCTGCAGGTAGATTTCATTGCTGCCATGGAGCAATTCTTCGCCTGTAGCTGATCGCCTCTAACTTCCTCTATCCCATGCTCTATTGGGAATCGCCAATAGTTGATTCACAATGTTGAGGGAACTGCCCCCATGCGCATTGCATCAACCAATGGCCATCCAAAACGAATATAATGTTGCAAGGGGAATGGATTGTGGTCGAGGGATGAGTGAAGTTCTGTCTTGATTTTTTTTGGTGCAGCCTGCAACACTCCAAGCTTGTTGCGCCCAGTGGCCACGTCGGCGTTCCATTGAAGCCGACCATCAGGCCATTGGACTGCTCCAAGTCATCAGGATGAAGGCCCAGCTCCTTGTAACATCTAACATACATGATGTCACAAGAGCTGCCTTGATCAATCAGGATGCGTTTCACTTGGCACTCCCCAACCTGGAGGGATTCTACCAAGGCATCATTATGTGGATGCTGGACCATCTCTAGATCGGCTTCAGTAAAGGCTATCGTCGGTCCCTGGTATTCCTCAGGCCGAGGTCTATTATGTCCGACCTGGTTCACGTGCTGTAGGTGTTTTACCTTCTGGGTCTCCCCTCGTATGTCGTTTTCGTTCACCTTTGAGTGAATTACATTAACCACCCGTGGTCCTGCTGCCTGTTGTTGCTATGCTGGGGAAGGCGGAGCTACTGGTGCTTGAGGCAATCTTGCATGTTCTTCCCTTGTCCTGACCTCATCGACAAGGTTCCTCAAATGGCCTTGCCTCACCAAGTCTTCTAAGTATGCTTTTAGGGCTCTGCAACCCTGAGTTGGATGCCCTTCTTCATTGTGGTAAGCACAACGCCTACCGACGTTTCTTCCCATAAATTCCCCTGGTGTTCTTGTCGGTGCTCTGAAATAGGGTTGGTTTCGTATTTGATCCAGGACTTTGTGGACCAGGATTCGGAACACAGTCGTCACTGCCTGTTTAGCCCTCAATTCCGTTTCTTATTTGATCGATCCATTATTACCTCCGCTTCGTTTCGGTGAGCCGTTTCCTTTTTCCTGCTTTGTCTCTTTGTTTCCCGACGTATCCTCCTCGGCTCTGGCGTACTTCTCGATTCTCGCCATGAGTTCTTCCATGCTTTTTGGCAATGTCTTTGCCAAAAACTTCCGTAGTGGGCAGTCATCTTTCAGGCCGTTCTTGAAAGACACGACCGCCACCTCTTGGTTGCATTCGAGTATTCGATTGAACACCTCGTAGTACCTTTTTGCGTAGGCCCTAAGGCCTTCATCCTTTGTGATTTTTAAAGCCATCAGTGCGTCGACCCTCAAGGGCTGTAATTTGTTCGTCACAAACCTGGCCACAAATATCTCGGCCAGGCCTTCCCAAGTCTTTACGCTTCCCTTCGGTAGTTTATGGAACCAATCTGATGCAATCTCCCTGAAGGATGAGGGGAATACTTTGCAGAGCAACGGCTCGTTCCCACTATATAATGTCATTGAATTCAAGTATAGTCCAACGTGAAAGTTGGGATCTGACTTACCATCATATATTTGGAACATTGGCATACTGAATCTCTTTGGTGCTTCAAATTTGTCCAGTTCCACCGAGAATGGTGTCTTCGGCTTAACCGGGGAAGTTACCTCGGCTTCAGCATTCTGTTGCTTCCTCTTGAGGTAATCTCTCAAGTCTTCTTTACTCCTCCCTGGAGCTCGGCTATCTTTGGACTTCAATCTTTTCGGCACACTACTTTCGGTCTCGTGGTGGGCCCGTTTTGATCTTTCTTCATGGGTTGTGTCAAAGCAGAGCACATGCCCTTGAACATACCGATATTCTTTGGGCTCTGGGTCCTTCGCGTGATACGTTTTTCGGGACTCCTCTCGTCTCGGCTCCTCTCGTCCGACTTCTCTGGAAGGTCGGTGAGAGTGTCTTCCGCTTCTGGTGTGCTGAGGGGCTTCGGGGATTGTTTTCCTTCCTCCCTTCTGGGTATTAATTGCTGGAATCGGCGTGTCGTGCAGCGGGTACGGTGGCTGCATGACATTGTTTTGTATCATGAAGTTGACGACCGACTGCAGGTCTGCCAACTTGTTTGCCAATTCTTTTACTTCTTCATCCCTCCGCAAGCACTTATCCCTCCATACCTGGAGGTTATCTTCGTTATAGTACTTGCTTTGGTTTGTCTTCTTTGAAGTTTCGCCCTTCTGGCCGACGCCTTTCTCTCCGTGGCCCTGGTCACAAGTTTCTGCATTGTGGTTGTCTCCTTCGATATCAAGGTCGATAGGTCTGCCACTCCCAGCAGAAGTGTGTCCCCAATCTTTTCCTTCTGTCCGTTACTGGCCATCTATTCTTCTACTTTTCCACAGACGGTGCCAAATTGTGTGAGTGATTTTCTGATCACACTGCCCGTTTAGTAATCAGCTAGAGAGCACCGGTAGAATAGATGGCTTCAGTTAACCTGTAACAGAAAGAGAAGGCTCCGGTGGTGGCTCTTCCACCAGGGGGCACTTCGACGATCAAATCAGTATATCTCTCAAAGATAATCAAGTGCTAAACTTACTGCTCAAAGCATAAATTGTGTACCTTAAATCCACGGGGTGCCTCTCTTTTATAGTTAACTCAATCCTAGTCCCACTAGAAGCCTGACTTCTATGGACTCTAATTCAGTACTTACTTTGGACTCCTCAAGAGATAAAGATAAACTCTTTAAGAGTTTTATCCTCATCTTGACTAAGTCTCCTCTTTATTCTAGGACTCTTTTCTCTTATCCGTTTATCTCGGATTCCGATATCTTCGGAGATAACCTCGGCAACGCCGACATAACCTCGGTATAATGACTAGGACACGTGACACCTTGACTGACACATTGGCGTCACCTTACCACGTGTTGATACTCAGAAAATATATCCCCACAAATACTTTAAAGATATCACGTGTTTTTGTCAAATTATCATCCATAAATCATATCATATTTTATATTATTTCTTTATAATTCAACACAAAATCATGAATCTCCATCTATCCAATCACAATCTCCCTGAACCATACTCCAAAACTACCTTCTTGGTAAGGTTTGGTGGCCAAAGTATTAAAGAAGAGAACATTTTGTTGAAAGAAAAAAAGTGGATTTGGAACTTTTTTTTTTAAGTGCCAGCTGTCTTAGACATTAGCCCTGTTTGGTAGAGCTGTGGGAAAGTGCTTATAGCTTATGCCTAAACAGCTTATAGCTTATAACTTTCAGCTTAAGCTGATTTCCAGCTTATTCTTAAAGCATCTCCTGCCCCACTCAAAGAATAAGCTGTTTTCTGACTTCCACAAAGCTATAAGCTATAAGCTATAAGCTAAACCAAACACATCAAAATAGCTTAAATTAAGCTGAAAGTTGAAATAAGCTGAAATTAAGCTGTACCAAACAGGGCCATTGGATTTGTTGCAATCTTTCCATTCTTTATAGAAATTGAGTGAGTTTGTCGTTACTTGTTATTTTTATGTCACTCAAATCCATTATATGAGTAATCACGTTGCTAATATATTCATTCAAATGTAGGTGTTTTTTTCACTAACTAAACTCCTTACGAAAGCTAAACAACTTTTGTGGTTTGACAATTTGGAATTCCCACTTTGTGTATTCGCATGGAACATCAATCTGATCTGCTTTTCTTTAGTGTTATGTTGATCTTCTTTTGGGGTCCACTAGATTTTTATTTTTTATTTTTTATTTTTTATTTTTTATTTTTTTTCTTCTTTCTTTTGTTCCATGACTATTTTGGCATGCTTTTAGCAGGGGGCAAGATCTGTGTTCCCCTCAATTGTATTAGGTTTAATTCTTTTCTTTTTTTGTTTTTAAATAAATTATAAATACATCTCTTAAAATTTATTTAAAACATGAATAATTTTTTATAATTTAAAAAATTATAAATACTTTTTTGTAAGAAATTTTTATTTAATAAAATTAATTTAAAAAATAAAATTCATAACTGTTCTTTTATACAATAATAAAATTAGTTAAATTATTAATTGAAATATATTTCTGACATCATTAAAAATTATTAATTGAATTAATGATTTATTTATAAAATGAGACTTTTATTATGAAATTAACAATTTTAAAGAGCATGATGTAATTTTTGAAATAATAATGAATAATTTATATTTTAAGTAAATTTCAAAAGATATATTTATAATTTATCTTTTTTGTTTTAAGAGGTCTAAGTGCCAAAAACCCATCACGTAAAATATCCATTTACAAAAAATATCAAGAATTCTTATGCCGTCATGGATCTCAATTTAAAGTCACATATCAAAAATGTTAAAATATCTAAATTAAAATTAATTGGGTATATTAATTAAATTTAAATAGTTTTAAAAAATAATGTCTGCTCATGCAGAATAAACTCAAGCAGAGCCCTGGCCTAAGACCACATGTGAATTCCACAACTTTAATCAGTAAATATTAACATATGAATTTTTCTTCACTTTCACTCCCACAACATTCCATTCTAATCGTTCAAAAAATTTCAAATATCCCACTCAGCATATTTATATAGTATGATACTAATATAATACTAAGAACAGTAAATAAAGATAAAATTATAAAAATAGCCTCTACAATCCCCGCCGTTCATGACATGCAATCAACGGCAAAGAGATTGACAACAAAAAGAACCTTTTTTTTTTTCTCCGCAAAATATAAGTTGAAAAAAAGATTGACAGTAATGATGGGATGATTCTATCAATGATAGATGCTACTGTACATCCGACGCAGACGATCGAAGCCTTTTGTTCGGAGGTTCGGCTTGACTTGACCCAGACCCGGAAAGAGAGACCCGATTGTCCGAATGAGTGTCGCAACTCGCACACGCCGCCGCATCCAGCACGCCGACTGGGCTCGAAGGTGAAGGCGGCTCGGCTGTTTGACGTTTAAAGCCAGCCGAAGGACACATGTCCACCAGGTATTCCTCCATTAGTTGGTGACAGCTTCTCACCATTTCCTGTCCCCAAGACAAAATAAATAAATAAATAAGGCTTCCAGGTGGTTTTTTTTTTTTTTTTTTTTTACTATTTTAGTCCCAAAAAAATATATATAGCCTTTTTAATTTAATAAGACAAAATATCAATCTAACTCATAATTATTATATATTTTTTTTCAAAAAAATCAAAAAAAAAATAAAAAAACTTATCTCAAACTAGACTTTTTAACCTAAACTAAAATAGTCAAAAAATTAAAGGAAAATGTTTGAGGGCCACAATTTTTGTGACCACAATGACTCAAAACTGACAAAACGACATCGTTTTTTATGCAAAATATGCCAAAATGACGTCGTTTTAATAATTTTGAGTCATTATGATCACAAAAATTGTGACCCTCTAACCTTTTGAAAAATTTAAAAGCCAAACCACTTTAATAAGAACCCTAAATTACCCACGAAATTCTACACAGCTTTTCATGCTTTGAATTAGAATATCTCGCGAAAAATAGTATCTATTTACATACCAGTCCTAAAGAAATCAAAATTTTATATTTCAAATACAATACGAAAAATGTTTGGGGGCCCTAATTCTGTGGCTCAAATATGGCTCAAATGGCCAAAACGACGTCGTTTTGGCCATTTTGATGTTGTTTTGTACTCAAAACGACGTCGTTTTGGCCATTTGAGCCACATTTGAGCCACAAAATTTGGGCCCTCTACCATTGCTGATACAATACTATACCCGTATGGGTTAATTACACAAATAGTTCTCAAACAATATATTTATTTGGACAGACTGAATAAAGAAATATTAGAATCCATCGAATTATAATGTTGGAATTCATAGTCCTAGGACTATTTGGTTGGATGAGATATGCATCCTATGTTTGTTTAGTCATAAAATTAGATGTCAGGTGACTATGAATCCTATGTTTGTTTGGGATATTAGGAAAAATGATAAATACTGAAATAACTATTTTACTCTTTTTAATTATTTGCTAAATAATAGCAATATATCTTTAATATTTTAATTATTTTTAGCTAGATTAAATACAATTTTATTTTTCACACAATTAAATAGTTTTTTTTTAATTAAATAAATAAAATTTCAATAAAAATATATGCTATTTTTTAATTTAAATAAATTTATTTTAAAAAAAATAATAATTAAATAATGAAATTAAATAAAAAAAATCTATTAAAATTTAAATAATGAAATTAAATAAAATATCAACAAAATTTTAAAATAAAACATCAATAAAAATTAAATAAAATTATTTTATTTTTAAATTGAGACTACTTTATTAAGTATAATTAATACCATGAGAAAAAAGATATTTAATACTAGAGGGTCAACAATATAATTTAGCAACCTAATCCCATAAGATAAGTTATCCCATGATTTGCGTCCCACCCCCTCTTTGAGATACAATAGTCCCACAGATTTGGGATTAATAGTCCGGATTAGTCCAATGCAAAAAATTTAAAACAAACAACGAACTATTAGTCCAATCCCACCCTTCAATCTCACCAAACAAACATGTTTAAAGAGTTATGTTAGGGATCTCAATAAATTATCAAATTTTCTATTAAACCTTCTAAGACTCGCACACACGTTATTTGTGTAGGTCTCACTCCATGTAAGTGATTTGATAAAAAATTTAATAATTCATTTAGAGTTCATAACATTTTTTATTCCCAAAATATGCTTTCTGTTACACTTTAGAATATTTTCAACTCTTCGTCAATTTTTTAATCTAATTTGACTAAAAACTTGATTAATATAAATTATTCCAATTCTTTTTTAAAATTCTTTTTTTAATCTCAAATTTCATTTTTCATAAAATTTATGGAAAAAAATCATCTCATATACTTCATAATTTAAGGGGGAAAAAATGATTCCTTTTTGATTTGATAAACATTTAATGAAAAAATTAAAAATTATTTTTTAATATTTTTTTATTAAATTTAAATATAATGAAAGAAAAGTGAAGGATTTCAAGAATGTGTCACTCATCAATCTTTTAGCCTCCGTTTGGGAAGTGGGTTGGCTTTTTGGCTTTTTGGTTTTTTTGGCTATTTTAGCCTGGGCTAAAAAACTTGATTTGGGAAGGACTTTTTGGCTTTTTGACTTTTTTGACTTTCTTTGTGAGAGAAGAGTATAATGATTATGGGTTGGATGTGATGTTTTGTTTGTTGTGACTAAAATAGCCTGTTTTGTTTTTTGTGGCTATTTTAGCCCCAACCCAACTTGCCAAACACCACCTTAATTGTTTTACTTTAGTTTTCAAAATATACAATCTACACATTAGTTCCTAACATCAACACTTTTCAAAATCAGTAACGGGAAGAACAGTATTTTTAAAATTTTATAACAAATCAAAATAACAAAATTAGAAGATCAAGAATGAAAATACAAAACAAAACCCAAAAAAAAAAAAAAATGCACAGTTTGAGATTGTATGTATTTGATCATTTTATTTTTGTGGATATTTCATGTAAAATCTAAAAAAATTATCCATTCTCCCGTTATTAATTTTGAACAGCACTAACATTAAGAATTAAAATGTAACAGCTCGCATACTTTGGTATACCAAAGTCCAACAATTAAAAATTTTAAAACAGAAGTGTAACAAAATGTATATTTTGAGAACTGATAATATGTAATCAACTATATTCATATAGCACAAACCATAAAAAATTACTTTATTTGCTCTCTCGTAAAAGACGCCTTCTGGTAAATCGACACTTTCACCGACGGCGGTGAGCACGGCGGCCGCTGCAATTGCCGACGGAGGAAAACCCAAGAAATCAACCACTGCAAAAACAGAAAAAAAAAAATTCAAATTAATTGATTTAATTAAGAAGAGGATAATCAAAGGAGTGTTTGGGTTCGAAATTACCACGAATGGTGTTGAGAATGATCTCGGAAGAAGATGATAGAATGGGGCCAAGAAAATTGGAATTGGAAGCTGAAGAAGGGAGCTTGGAGATGAAGTAGTCGAGGAAGTCGAAGGGAGTGACCGAGAGGAGCCTCCAATGGAGATTGGACATGACATAGAGCTCCATTCGTTGAACCGTTTTGGGGTCGAAGATGAACTTGGGTTCCAACACTTGGAGATCTAGGATCAGTGGAACGGATGGTTCCTGGATTTTGGCTGCCAGAGACAGACACGCCACCGCTAGAAGCTGAAACGGCCACCCCTTTGCTTTCTGTCATCAAATTACCACTGCCTCACTCTCCACCAACCAATACATATAGAAAAATGCTTAGAGGCCCCAAAAATTTTACCAAATGTCTTACATGGGTGTGGGATTCACATGGGACCCACATTCACACCCATGTGAGACATTGGTAGAATATTGTAATGGTAGGGACACTAAATTTTCTACCAAATAAATGACCAAATGTCTCACATGGGTGTGGGGTCCGCAATTTTGTGGGCCTCACACCCATGTGAGACATTTAGTCATTTATTTGGTAGAAAATTTGGGACCTCTAGCATTTTCCTTTTGGAAAAGCGGTTAAAAGTCCTCTTTCTTCAACTTCTTTTATTTTGAGTCATGTTATTTTTAATATTTTTTTTGTACTATTTTTTTAAAAAAAATTAAAAAAAAAGTAAAAAAAAAAAATTTAACCATCTTTTCAAAATAAAAAATACTAAAATAAATTACAAAGACACCTCTTGTCAGTATAATTATTTAACGATATTAACTTTTAAGTTAAAATAACATATTTACCCTTAACATTTCCATATACTTTAAAGCGTAAATTACATTGGCACCCCCTGAGATTTTAATTTAATACGGATTCCCCCACGACATTTATAAATAAAAAAAAAATTAATTTAATAACCTTTACATATACTTTAAAGGGTAAATTACATTGACACCCCCTGAGGTTTTAATTTAATACAGATCCCCCTAACATTTAAAAAAAAATTAATTTAATAAAAATAAATATGAAAAAATATATTTAATTCGTAAAAAATTATTTCTAACCACTCGAAAGATAAAAATTATTTAAAAGTGATAATTATTTTTTATTTCTTATTTCTTAATCAGATTAATTTTTAATTTTTCAAAAAAATTCTAAAAATCAAACCATACATAGCCTAAAAATCTTTTGATAAGTCATTTCTTAAGTTGATAACTTATTTAATTATTTATTAATTTTACGACATTTTTACCATCTGAGTCTTGTTTGGTAACTATTTCGTTTTCAATTTTCAATTTATATTTACAAAAATTTAAAAAACTGTCATAAAAACTTGTTTGATAATTTTTTTAGTTTATAAATGGTTGTCTCAGTTTGTAAATTTGAGAAAAAAACATAAATGAGTTTACGTTGGTTTTTAAACAGAAATTTAAAATTTTGACTAACAAAAAAAATTTTCAATTAATTTTTTTTTTCAAATAATTTTTTTTTCAATTAATTTTTTTGTCAGCTAATACTAACCAAGTGGGCAATTAATAATGCTGCTTTAAACTTGGGGAGGGAACTGTTATTTCTAAAATATGAGAGGTGTCAATGTAATTTATCCAGTGAGGGAAAAATTGGTGTTTAAAAAAAATTAAATTGCTGACATCATCAAAATATGTTAGTTGACTTAACAATCAACTAACTGAGAGAGCAATCTATAATGAAACTTAAACTTAAATGAGGGGGATGTAATTTCCGAAAGGTGAGGGGGAACTGTAATAAATATAAACTTTGGGGCGTGTCAATGTAATTTACCCAAAATACTAACTATACGTGTAATTTAAAATAAATAAAAATAAAATAAAATATTTAGCCTTGGTTTGGTAAACATATTGGGACTAAAATAAACACATAAAGACAAAAAAAGCTACATAATCACAAAATGACAAAACGCTTGACTGTTAATGCAAAATTACCAAATTGACCCATATACAAACAAAATGTCAAAAAAACATTATTTCTAAGTGGAGGGTAATTTTGTCATTCCAATGCAAAAAAGCCAAACAAGAAAACCAAACGAACATAAAAATCTCAGGCTAAAAAAGTCAGAAAAACCAAAAAGCCAAAGTTCGCCAAACGACACATTATATATTATGTTACTCAAGTGATAAGAGTCTTTAAGGCCAATGTTTAAAGTCTCATCATTTCTCAACTATTTATTTATTTACTGTTATATAAAAAAAAATGAGAAACACGTCTTAAGGAGAATACTTGAACACTTAATACAGCTGTATATATATATAGGGATGGCAATTTGGACCCGGCTCGACGGGGATTCGATCTTCCGACCCTAATTAGAACGGTTTTTCTCCGAAAAATATCCCCGACGAGTTGGGGATGGTATTTGAAAATGCATTCCCGACAAGTTTCGGGCCGGTGACAGTGATGCGTTCCCCAGCCCCGTCCCAATCCTGTCTCCATCCCCGTTTCCCCTATTGAAATTACTATTATACCCTCTATCTATTCATATTATATATATCCATTCCTCTCTCTCTCTCTCTCTCTCTCTCTCTCTCTCTCTCTTACACTCTCAACCCTAATCTCAAACCTATGTCGATCCAGATTCTCCATCTTCGCAAAGGTCACCATCCTCAAGAACCACCGCTCTGCCGTCCTCCATCACAACACTTCCTCTGCCATCCTCCATCACAGCACCGCCGTAGCACCTCATCTCTCGCTTCTCTTCTCTTTTCCTTCCTCTCGCTTTTTCTCTCATCCCACCTCTCTTTTTCTCTCAATTCCAATAATGAAACCCTAGCCAATGCCTCGAGATACGGCGGTATCAGCCATATTTCAGCGTAAATCTAAGTCGATCCACATGGATCTGTGCGCAATCCACACAGATTTGTGTGTATGTATACATATATGTGTATATGTGAGTGTGTATCAGTATCCATTTTTTTTTTTTGGTTGTTGATCTATTGTATATATTGTGGTTGTTAATCTGTTGTGGTTGTGGTTGTTGATCTGTTGTTGTGGATGTTGTTCTTGTACGGGGATTTTTCGGGGATGGGGATCTCCGATCACCGTTAGGGGACAGGGACGAGGAGAGTGATGGGTTTCCTGCCGGGGATTAGGAAAGGGGACGGGGACTTTTGTGCCTTCGGGGATCCGGGACGGGGAGTGTGATCCCTAACCCCGTCCCGTTGCCATTCCTATATATATAGTAGATGATACATGCCATGCATACACAATTAAAATAAATAAAAATAAAACAAAATTTTTACTCTATATGTTATAGTAAGAGTTTTGTTTATTAACTTAAGGTCCTAAGTTCGAGCCTTACTTTTATCAATTATCTTTTTTATTTTTTTCAAATAGGAAAATAAGAACATGCCTTATAAAGAGAAGTCATCAAAATAAGAACATGTGAGTTGTTCATTTAGATACCGATAAATATATTTTATAATACTAGGGTAAATTACACTGACACCCCGTTAAGATTTGACACCCCTTGAGATTTGATACAATTATATTTTATCCCCTGAAGTTCTGAAAATTACATTCCCATTTCTATGGTTAATAATCTTATTTAACAAAAACTCCCACCGTGAAATGAATGTTAGACCTGTTAAGAGAAGGAAAAGTGACCAAATTGCCCTCTAGGACTTTAAAAAGTCATTTGTAGCCTTATATTATATTTAAAACTATCGATATACCATAAAGAAAATGGTCAAATCACAACAATTGTCATTTTTTCTAAAACCCTAGCAACAAAATGTTTACATTATTTTATTAATTTTTGCATGTAAAGATTTAGGGGCAAAAATGTCTTTTGATTCCAATGTTAATTCCGTCTAAATAATGACACTAGCAGGGGGTCAATATAATTTTCCAAACATCAAGAGATATTAATTTACCTTTTATACACAAGATTCAACAAAAAAAAATCCTTTACTCCTAATAATCTTACACTTCATGTGAAACGGAGGATGCGAAAATAAAAGAAATTATTGTGATTTCTCATCAGTTGAAGAAAAAAAAAAGAAATGATAGTGTTTGGTTAATTTTCAAATCGTAGTTTGAAACTCAAGATTCTTTTTAAAACTTATAACCAAACAAAATTTTGAAAACTCTTTTCAGAAATTCATAACTAAACAAGTTTTCAAAACTATACATTTTTTAATAAAAAAATTTAATTTTTTTTATTTTGTTCTTTAAATTTTTTTATTTTTTATTTTTTTAAAAAAATGTTTTTCCAAAAAAAATATATATTTGAAAAAAAGTATTTTTTATTTTTGAAAAAAAATATTTCGTTATTTTTTTAAGTATTGACCAAATAATTTGTTATGATTTAAATATATATTGGGCAATCCAATTTTTTTTAAAAATAAATATTCTAAAAATTAAAAAAAATTAATTTAAATATTTAAATATTAAAAAATATATATATATAAAAGATTTAAAAATATTTGAAAAATAAGCAATTTTTAAAAAATAAAATAAAAAATATTTTAAATTGTTTTAAATAACTTTTGTCTAAAATTTTTTAAATAATTTTTGAAAAATAAAATAAATATTTTGTTTGAAAAATTAAAAAAATAAATTAAATAAAAAATTTAGTTTGAAAATTCTTTTCAAAACTCATAACCGAACAAGTTTTTGAAATATACAACTCAAAAACTAGTTTTAAAACCCTTTTCAAAACCCATTTCAAAGGCTTATCTTTCAAAATATAACTCAAAACTCATTTAAAAAACTAAACTAAACAAAATGTTTTTTCACTATATAGTTTTAAAACTCATAATCAAACAAGTTTTTCCTTTTCAAAACTCATTTCAAAAACTTATCTTTCAAAATATAACTCAAAACTCATTTTAAAAAGTAAACTAAACAAAGTGTTTTTTCACTATCATATTTGGATGTATAAGAAAACAAAGCATATGAGAGAAAGATATGAGTAGAAATCAATTTCTTTCTCACCACTTTTGGTAAAAAATGAAATAGGCTTACGGTTGTTTTGGGTATAATTTATTTTTTGACTTTTTTGTTATTACAAAAAGACATGTAAAAAAATAACGAGGTGATGTAACTAAAATAAGCCAATAAGCAACTTATTTATTGCGTTCCCAAACCAAGCTTTAGCAAAGAAATCTTCTTTCTCACCATTTCTCATTCAACTTATATCAACTTATAAATCAAACATGAGAAAACAGTTCACTTTCTCATCATTTCATCGATGAACAAGGCGAGAAACACAAGACCAAACACAAATGTCAGTTGAGTCCCACAGGTGAGTCTCACATTATGTGGACCTTACCCATTGTGAGCGTTTGTAACTTATTCTGTATTTAGTCCTATCTGTACTTGGACTTATTATTCATCAATGTAAAACCATCTTTAAACCACAAAAGTTTTAAAGGAATGTAAATCTTATTAGTTGTAAAGAATCTCATTGACCTCTCTTTGATTTTGAGATTTTTATTAAGGTTTTATTCATATTAAACTTAATTCTTTTCTATACTAAAATATATATTTTTCATTGTTTATTAGTAAATTTGTATTAACTTTAATCTTATTAAAAAGGAGATTGATGTAATTATACTAAAATTGTAAAATTTGTTATATTTTTTTTTAAATTTCAAAAGAAATCAAAGTAATTTATCCTAAAATTCTAAAATATTTGTTTCATATTCGATTATAAGAATTTTTAATGAAAAATGAAATAAATAAATAAATATTGTGGATTTACTGATTTTTTACTAAAAAAGTGAGAAAATTAGATTTCTATTCAATTTATGAGATTGTTATACAAATATGAGATTCTCCTAAAACAGTGAGAGAATTAGACTTCCATTCCATTTAGAAATTTGATTTCTATTAAAATAAACAACCAGAAATTACTTTCTTCTGCCAATTCATTCTTTGTCATCCAAGCTTGGCTAAATTTTACACTTTCAATTTTATTTTAATAAAGTTCGTCATTAATATTTTAGTAGAACTTGCACTTACACTATGTTTGGATTGAGTAATTTGGAAAGAAAATAAAAGAAATTGAAAGATATGTATTTCTCTTACTTGTTTAGATAATTTAAGTGAAAAGAAATGGAGAGAAACGAAGAGAAATGGAGAGAAACGAAGAGAAACTTATCTCTCTTATAACCCTCATTTTCAATCTTCCCAAAAGTAGAGAGATTGAGAGAGAAAAGAAACCAACAGATTCTTATATTTTCATAATACTAATTTTGTCCCTGTAAAAATAAAAAAAATTAAATGATTGACAAAATATAAAAAGATTATTTTGGTAATATAAAATAGTTTATTTTCTTTTCTCTTATAAAATATAATCAAACAAGAATAAAAGAAATTACAATTATTTCTTTTCTTTTATTTCTTATCCAAACAAAAAAAAAAAAAGAAATCACAATTTTTTCTTTTCATTTCTTTTCTCTTATAACTTAAGTAATAATTTCTTTTTTTTTCTCTCTTAAGTCTCCAAACATAGTGTTTTTTTTTTTTTTGAGTGACCTTTTTTATAATTTTTTTTGAATTCTACTTTAGTCATTCTAATTTTAGGTTTTTTTTTTTGGGTCTAAAATATTAAGACAAATAAATGACATTAAAACAAAAATAAAAAAATATAATTTAAATTCAATTAAAAAAATTAGAATTATAGAGATAAAATAAAATTTCACTCAAGTAGAGAGAATCGTGAACGTGGGACCTACGTGGGTCCCACACCCCTTTGAAAATTTGTAAAATACCTTCAAATTCATTTGGACATTTTAACAATTTTGATAAAATTATAAAGACCAAATACACCATTAGAAAGACCATTAATATAATTAATCCTACTTATATTATATTAGATATTCACAGTACCGGAAGGGAACGAGAAGAAAGGAAACGGTCCAAGTAGTTGACGGAGAGAAACGCCGTCACCGGTCTGAAATGATAGTGTGCATGCACCTGTATTCACCAACATCATCAATACAGATCCAAAAAACTGTATCTAAACACACACACAATCATAGAGAAACTGTATTGGATTTCAAGCATTTACTCTGAGGATCCAGTGGATGGAGTCTTGGCGAGTGGTTAGATCGATCGAACGGTCTCTGCAGCGGCGGAGATAGTCAGGTTGGGGCATGTGATCGTGTTCGGAATCGATGAGTCGTTTAATCAAACTTTCATCAAGCGGTGGAAAGTGATCGGAAGGTTGCAAATCGGAGATCCTGATGTCGGCATCGGAGACATCGCCGCCGGCGTAGAAGTTAGAAGCGGAGTGATCAGGAGAGTGAGTCATTGCGGCTGCGGCCATCGAACAGGGATGCGGTGGTTAACGGCTGAGTAAAGGCGGCGACATTGTGAATACCGAGAATCGCCTTAGGTGGGGAGGTGAGATTGGTGGAGAAGGAACCCATGCCGCTTATGGTTTGGGCAGAAACATGTTTTTAGCGCTTTTCTCTCTCTCTCTCTCGCTCTACTAAAGTCTGATTTCTCAACACTCTCTCACTAAATAGCCTCACTCTAGAGAGAGAGATAGAGAGAGAGAGAACACGTGGAGGACGTTGCAGCGTGGGCTCAGAGATGGGGGATATGGACGGTTGTGATCTGCCTGTTGCGATTCATCTGATCACCACCACTATGCATGGAGTATGAATGATTGATGATTGATGATGCCTATGATTATTCATGTTTTTTTTTTTTTTTTTTTACAAAAATTACAAATACATTCCTCGAGTTTTGATTAAAATATAAATCGTTTCATGTAATTTTAAAAATTACATTCTACCCTCTAAAATTTTTAATTTTATAACAAATCGCTTATTTTATTAATAAATTATCAAGTTAATTAACAGTTTTTAATGATATTAAAAATATATTTCAATTAATATTATTGTATTTGAGAGCAATTATGAATTTTATTTTTTTAGTTAATTTTATTAAATAAAAAATTTTAATAAGAGAATAGTTATAATTTTTTAAATCACAAAAGATAATATGTATTTTAAACAAATCTCAAGATGTATATTTGTAATCCCCTCATCTTTTTTTTATACATATATATTTCGACTTTCGGAATGGACAACTAGTCTTTAGCCACTGTTCACGAGATGGGAAAGTTATTCACAATTGCTCATTAATTGACTTGGGTATGCTTAGGGACGGATTCAAGATTATAATTTTGGGGGGCCAAAGTACATTTAATCTCTAACTAATAAAATTTGAAATTCAATACCAATTTCTATTAGTATGAAAAAAATCAATAATGTTACGATAAAATATTGAACTATATATTTCTTGTCAACATAGTTGAGTACCAAAAGATGATCATATAATTGAGAATATTTTTTTGCCCATATTCACTTACAAAAAGTAGTAATTATTTCTACATACATTTATTTACTAAAATTAGGCATCTGCAATTGAGCTCGACATTCTTTCATAATATCAAAAGCATCGATGATAAAGTCTACATCAAACCCTTAAGCAATGTCCTTTTCAATATACGTAATCAAGTAACTAGCCAGAAAACCATCTTCCATCCTATTGCGCAATTTAGACTTAGCGAGTTTCATAGCTGAAAATGCACGTTCCGATGTAGCAGTTGAAACAGGTAAAGTCAACACAAGACGGATCAATCTATCAATAAGAGGATAACTTGTCGACTTTTTTGTTTTTGCCAACATTTGGCACAACTCAGAAATGGTTGACAGCTTCTGAAACTCGGGAAGTATGGAAATATCAAACTTATAGTTTTCCAACTGATACTTCAAATGCAATTTTTCTTGCTCGGAGAAATCCATGGGATAAAATTTATTTGCAAGTTTGCAAATATCCTCAATGTTGAATGATCTATAACCATTCCTAGGATCCAAAGCTGAGCTAAGAACAAGCAATTCCATTACATCTTCCTTAAACCTATTGTTTAATTCTTGTAACTAGGAATCAACTGTAACCATAAAAATATCAACTCGAAAATGATGTTCCATGGTGAGCTGATCTCTTTCAGAACGAGACCAACCTCGACCTCCTTTATAAGGACAACTCATATCAGGAATCTATATACCATGATCATTAGAAAATAATTTAATTTTCTCCAAAAATGGAACCCATCCATCTTCTCTAAATTTTTGAATAAGTATCTTCGTTGTAGACACCAAATGCATTGCATTTAATATATCTTGAGATTTACTTTGCAAAGCTTGGCAAAGATCATCGGTAATCTCCATGATATCCCTCATAAGATGTAAGATGAAGACAAACTCAAAAGATGTAATGGAATCATAAACTCCATCTGCCTCAGCTCGTTGATTCGATTTGCTTCCATCATTAATTATATTTCTTAAGACTGCACAAGTAGCACTGAACATGTTTATCAAACTACAAATGGAACCCAAATAAGAACCCCATCGAGTATCTCTAGCTCGTTTCAATGTTCCAATCTGATTTTTTCCTTTACCAGTCTCGAATTCATCATCAATGGCAAGCTTTTCAGCAATATCTACAACCTGAGCAGCTCTTAATTGATCATGTCTTTTGCAAGATGAGCCAACTATATTAATTGCTTGAGTCAAGTAAGAGAAAAACTGATTGATAGATATAACCTGTTTAGATGCTCCTACTAAAGCCAATTGGAGCCGATGAGCAAAGCAATGAACATGCTATGTGAATGGACACTCAGCACAAAATAGAGCCTGCAACCCAGTCCATTCTGCAGACATGTTACTGGCACCATCATATCCTTGACCACGAATATTTTGCACACCAAGGTTATGACGAGAAAGGACAATACAAATTTTTTCTTTCAAAGTTGCCGACGTGGTATTTAACACATGAACTATGTCAAAGAAACGCTCTTTTATAAAACCATATTTATCAACAAATCTCAAAACAATTGCCATTTGCTCTCTTTTCGATTCATCTTCAGATTCATCAACTAGAATGCAAAACTTCCCATCATTAATCTCCTCACGAATGAATCTTTGTATCTTATTAGAGAAAATACTAGGAATCTGTTTTTGAATCCCATGGGAATGATAGGAAGCATTTTGAGGAGCATTTTCCAAAACCATTGCTACCACATCCTCATTATAAGAAGCCAAGAGCTTTATCAATTCAATAACATTCCCTCGGTTGTTAGATTCGTGGCGTTCATCACGACCTCTGAAAGCGCAGGCTTGGAATGTTAACCATTTAATCACATCTATCGAGGTCTTCAATCGCAAATGATTTCTAGCAATTTGTATGGAAGTTTGTTTTTCAATAATTGCCTCAATATGTTGCGCTTGATTTGTTAAATCACAACAACATTTGATAGCAACTCTATGCGATGAGTTAGGATCCTTGCCCATATGCGATAACAAAGGACAATTCTTCCATTCATTGACTTTCTTCCAAGAAGAAAATCCCTCGACTGTAAAAGCACTAGATCCAGGGCCTCCAGTTGGCTTAGTAAAAAGAAAACATGGAAGGCAAAACGCACGATTTTTTGTTAGAGAGTATTCCAACCAATCCGGAAATAACTTGTACCAAGAATCTAAAAAACGAAGCCCATTCTTATCAATTTCAAAAGGTTGATTGTTCAGAGCCTTGGGTTGATATGGCCCGGATTTGATATAAGCACGTCTGATCTTATCACGTTCAGATACCGGATAATCCCATATTTGTTTACGCAACCCCAGATCCCTCACCAAAGAAGATGTATCAACATCTTTAGATTCAACTCTTGGAAGTTTAAAAGGACATTGTTCCAAAGGAGTTGAAGTTTCAACATTATTGGTAGAACTTTGAACAATATTTTCAGAACCTCTTTTCTTAAAGAAGAAATCAATTTTTTTGTTCGCCATGATTAACTTAACAATTGTACCTGAATCACAAACTAGCAGACAATTGGACCACCAATATTCAAACTTCAATCAACAGACATAAATATGAAAACAATCACCTCAAATAAGCCTATTAATTCTTAGGAGAGGTGATATTTTGTAAGGGTAATCCACGGTTATTACAAACCGTCTAAATCGATCGAATCGAATTGATTTATCACATTTTGAACTGATTTGTGGTGACAAGCGGACAGTTGTAGGTTGATTTTTTTCAATCCGTCTAGTTTTGGACGGGTGACGGATTTGAGATTCTTTTAACCGCAACCGAATTGCCAAACTGCGAGCACCCCTAAAAATTTGTAAAATTGTGTTTTCAATTTATTTATATATTTTATTTGTGTTTTCAATTAAAAAAGAGTTTAAATATTCTGTTGAAAAAAAGTTTTTAACTTGAATATATTTTTTGAATTGAAAAAAAATAAATGTATTATTTATCTATATTTTTTGGTTTTTAAATTTAACTCTAAAAATAATAAATAAAAAAGATGATATATGCTGGTTGGTTTTTGTTTTCAAAAACAGATATAAATGTAACAATACAGAGACATACAATCTCTACTACTACTTTGTTTATGATTTTGGTGGTTTGAATTATTTTTATATTTTAAGAATCACAGATTGTAATACTTTATGTGGATGAAATATGATATGATTCTAATATGTGGATGAGGCATGCAGTGATTGTAATATTCTAATTTTAAAGTTTCAAACTTTCTTGTTTTAGATGAGGCATGCAGTGATTGTAATATTTTTTTAAGTCATTCACTGTAATACTTTTTTCTTTTTTAGGAAGTACACAAGTTGAATTATATTGAAATTTTATAAAATTTTAAACCGCCAAACCGATTTGCATCAATCCGCCAATCCGCTCAACCCACATCCGCCGAATTGGCAGACGAATACGGATTGATTTTCTCCAATTCGCCAAACTGGTGAATGAATGACAGATTGAAAGTTCCATGGCCACAATCGACCCACGCGCGCCCTTAATATTTTGGGAGTATTTGATAACTTTTTATTATTTATTAGTTTATTTGAGTTATATTATTTTTTTCACATTTTTTTGTAATAGTTAAAAAATAAAATAAGTTATATTCTTTCTGTCTCAAACTATTAGTGTCTTATTTCATTTTAATAAAATGCTTAAGACATTTAATTTATTATATCTAAAAATTACTCCTAATGATATGTCTGACAAGTGTCAAATTTTGATTTGTTAAATATTTCATCATGTCAGGTCTAACCTTAATGTCAACTACATATTTGGCTAAGGCCCTCGTTTTGGCAACTACATGTTTTAGCCAAAAAGTCAAAAAAAATTATTACAAGTTGTCACATCACTCTCTATTTATATGCACATCTTTTTGTAAAAAATCATAATATTACTAAAATAATTTGTTCTCAAACGAGGCTTAAGTGTACACTAAAAAATCAATATGTATTTCAAATTGATTTTTTATTGTAGGAAAGGACAAAAAATACATTTCCTCTAAATTCATTCTATGTGGGTTGGACTACATTCAAAATAAATTTGACCCACATTATTGATTTTTCTATACGTATTGTGTGGTTTTTAGGAAGCTGGTAAAAAGTTGATTTTTTGACTTTTTTGATGGCTTTTTTGGAAAAAAAAAAAAAAAAAACTGACTTCTTTGGCTAAAAAGTCAAAAAACTGATTTTTTTGGTGTGTTCCCAAAAGACCCATGTGTTAGTGGATTTTATCATTTATGCTTAATTAAATTCATTTATATCTATTTATTTTTGGTGTAAAAATGCGTTCTAGCTCAACTCGTTAATTATTAGGGTTATTTTAAAAAATGTCAAAAATAATAATTTTTTTTTTACTTATTACAAAAAGACATACAAAATTAGAGAGATGATATGACTCAAATAAATCAAAAAGTTAATAAACCGACTTTTTTTGCACTGTAAGTAGGGGTGTGCACGGTGCGGTTCGGGCGGTTTGAGAGTAAAATTACAAACCGAATGGCGGGTTGGCGAATTAGCGGATTGACAAAATGCAATTGGGGCAATTTTTGGCGGATTGGCAGATTGAAGAATATTCTAACTAATTATCATACATTTGCATAATATATAACACTAATTTGTATAATATTTTTTAGATATATAACACAAAGTAATTTTACACAATATGTTTCATATATATAACTACTAATTTGTAATAAATTTTATATCTTAAATATCTCGCAAACTCATTTTTACATTAGATATTTTATTAGAGGTTAAAAAATGTATATGTATCAACTATAGCGGAGCGGAACGGTTCGATTGACAGATTATAAATTTTAAAGTTTAAACCGCGATTTAAGATTTAGGGTTATGGGTTATCCCATAAATATATCTCTTTGACTTATCACTAACTTGTCTTCCCACCTTCACATGCAATTTCTCTCTCTACTCTCACTCTTCGTTTCAAAAGTTTTTTTTTTATTTTTATTATTCCATTTTTCTCTATTAATAATCAAAATCAAAGTGAGGTTATATTTATATTTATATTTTTTTTGACTTGAGTGGCAAAAGTTCATAGTGCGACTTCAAAAAAATAATATCTATATTATTCTAATTTAACATAAAAAAATTAGATATAAAATTACTATTGTCAGGTTTTATTGGGCGGTATTTTAAACAGTCCTAACTGTAAACTTGGCTTAATGGCATTACTATATCAAGTTGTCCATTTCAACTTAAGTTTAGGCTGTGCTAAATATTTCAAAACACCTTATTTAGGGGTTCAGAGTTGAAAAAAAGAGGAAATGAGAGAACAAAACTAGTTTGGGAGAAGTTCGGCATGAACCCGGGGAGGATCGAAACTGAGCGACTTCACCAAAACAAGCATAACTTTTCACACAGTTAGAATTTTGATGCAAGGATGCCACCATTGGAAAGCTTACTTCCGGGACTTCAATTTGGACACAAGAATGACCTGAAAAGGAGTCTAGATGAAGGAGTTATGCCCATTTAAAGTTAGACCTGGAAAACAGAATTTTCCTGATTTTCCTACTGACCAGAAAAATGGGCTGCCAACCAAAAAAGTATCTAGTCGACCCAAAAAGGTGGTCGGTCGACCAGAAAAGTGGTCTGCAGGTCCCACACTCATATTTTTTGAAGATAATTTCTCTCCAACTGTCTTCCAGAACCTCCAGCTGTTCCATAGACAGATATTTCGAACCAACTCTTATTTTTTGCTATATATGAGCCATATCTCTCATTTTGCAAAAAGAAGAACATTGAAGCAATTTTGGGAGCCTCTCTCTCTCTAAAAATTTTTCTCTCTCTAGAAATTTCAGAGCTAAATTTCAACTTTTTTTTCTCTAGTTGGCTCTCCCTCTTGACCTTGTGTGCATGCAAGAGATATACTTGGAGATTTACCTCTCTTTTGCCTAGGCATCCTTGATCAAACTTAACCACCATTGGGCTGAGGTTCTTTAAGGATCATTTCGAGCTCCTAAGGTGGTTTTAGCTAAGAATTTTGGCTATTTTGCAGCTATGCTTTAAGGGTAAGCATCTCCCTTTTATAAGCTCATTTTTGTACACTATCTTGGTCAACTTTGCATGCTTGTTTTGCCACCCTTTTCAAAGTGTTTTTAGCTTGGTTTTGAACTGAAAAAAACTCTGCTTTTCAGTCCTCAAAGTGGTGGTTTAAGCCTTGTTTGGCTAGGGGGTATTTCCTCCATTTTGCTTCTTGGCTTGTAAAGCCTTTTGAGCCATCTTTCACCACCTTTCAAACCAACTTTTTTTGGCCTTTAAACCACTGAATTCCAGAGGAATTTCAGTGGTGAAAAGGTGGTTTTGAGGCCCCAAATAGGAGGGGGTTGTCCCCCCTCCTCTTCTCTTGTTTGCATGTGTTGATGGCCAACCAAATGAGCATGTGTCTTTACTTCTTTGTGGCTTTGTTTAGGCTCATTTTTGTGACTTTTGAAACCTACCATAACTCTGTTTTTGGTCAGCTTGGTCACCTCTTGCATGCTTTTTGCACTTGTAGTGCAATCTTGTTCACTATCCTTGTTAGCCTTACAAAGTAACATGCTCTTGTGGTTTGAATTAGCTTAGTTCAAGCATGTTTTTAGCATTATTTTGGCATGTTATAACTCTTATTTTAATTAGTGGACTCACCTCTTGCATGCTTTATACACTTGTAGTATAAATCTTGCTCACTAGCTTTGTATGCTTGCTATTTTAGCCTATAATTCTAGCATGTTTTGGCTCTACTCCAGCACATTTTTGGCCATTATTTAACATGCTTAAGCTCTGTTTTAAGTTGTTTTGGTCATGCATGCCTTGCTTTGTATAGCCATAATGCAAATGCTTTGACTAGTCTTGAGTTTTGAGTCCACTAACATGCATTACTTAGGCTATTTGCATGATTTGGAATCATTTGATATGTGATTTCAGAGCATGTTTCACTGTCATGCCCTCACATCTTTCGCTCTTTCAATGCTTTGGAG